GGAACTGAAGGGGTATCTAAATGAGGAACCGTGGCACTCTTATTCACAACAGCATTCCTCACAGAAGCTAAAATGTGCTAGAAAACCAAGTATGTAACTGACTGACAAACTGAGATGCAAACAACCGAATATATCCAGCCTTAACTATCTCCACTCCTTTTCAACATAGTGCTTGAAACTCTTGCTAGAGCAATAAAACAAGAGAAGGAAATTAAAGGAGTAATAATTGGAAAAGAAGTCAAATTAACCCTTTTTGCAGATGATATGACACTGTATCTAAGAGATCCCAAAAATTCCACCAGAAAGATTCCATCAGAAAGTGATCAACACTTTCAGTATAGTGGCAGGTTACAAAATTAATCTACAAAAATCAGTAGCCTTTCTATATATCAACAACAAGCAATTGGAGAAAAGTACAGGGAAACCCTCCCATTCACAATAGCCCCCCCAAAATACACACACACACACACAATATCTTGGAATGAACCTGACCAACAAAAATTCTAAATCTTTAAATTCTAAATCTTTAAATTCTACAATGAGAAAATTTAAATCTTTAAAGAAAGAGATTGAGGAAGACACCAGGAGATGGAAGGACCTCCCATGTTCATGGATTGGAAGAATTAATATTGTGAAAATGACCATCTTATCAAAAGCAATATATAGATTAAATGCAATCCCAATCAAAATTCCCATGACATACTTCACAGAATTAGAAAAAAAAAACCATCCTTAAATCCATATGGAAGCACAAAAGACCCCGATAGTCAAAGCAACCCTGAGCACAAAGAGCAATGCTGGGGGTATTACTATACTAGATCTCAAAGTGTACTACAGAACTAGAGTCATAAAAACAGTGTGGTACTGGCACAAAAATAGACACATAGATCAATGGAACATCACTGAAGACCAAAACCTAAGTACATGCAATTTCAGCCACCTGATATTTGACAAAGGTGCTAAGAACACACAATGGAGGAAAGACAGCATCTTCAACAAATGGTGCTCGCAAAACTGGATCTCAACCTGTACAAGAATGAAACTAGATCCTTATCTTCCACCCTGCACAAAAGTGAACTCCAAATGGATCAGAGACCTCAATGTGAAACTCAAAACTCTGAAACTATTAGAAGAAAACATTCGCAGTAACCTACCAGATATAGGTAGAGGAAAGGACTTTCTAAATTGGACACGAGTTGCTCAGGAATTAAGGTCAGCAATCAACAAGTGGGACCTCATTAAAAAGCTTCTGTACAGCAAAAGAAACAATCAAGAAAGTGAAGAGAAAACCCAGAGAGTGGGAAAAAATCTTCACCAGTGACACATCTAACAGAGGTTTAACATCCAGAATATATAAAGAACTTAAAAAACAAAGAACCAAGAAAACAATAATGGCCCAATTAAAAGATAGGCTAAAAATCTAAACAGGGAGTTCCCAAAGGAATGAATAAAGATAGCTAAGAAACATCTTTAAAAGTGTTCAATATTGTTAACAATTACAGAAATACAAATTAAAACCTCCTTAAGATTTCACCTTACCCCAGTCAGACTGGCTAAGATCAAAAGAACAAATGATACCAAATGCTAGCGAGGATATGGCAAAAGGGAAACGCTCCTTCACTGCTGGTGGAATTGCAAACTCGTGCAACCCCTATGGAAAGCAGTGTGGAGAACTCTTAAAAAACTAAAAATGGCTGGGCGTGGTGGCGCACGCCTTTAATTCCAGCACTCGGGAGGCAGAGGCAGGTGGATCTCTGTGAGTTCAAGGCCAGCCTGGTCTACATAGTGAGTTCCAGGACAGTTGGGGCTACAGGGAGACCCTGTCTCAAAAAGACAAAAATAAATAAATAAAAAACCTAAAAATGAACCTACCATATGACCCAGTTATACCACTCCTTAGCATATACCCAAAGAACTCATCCTATTGCAGAGACACTTATACAACATATTTGTTGCTGCTCTTTTCACAATAGCTAAGAGATGGAAGCAACCTAAGTGCCCTTCTATTGGTTCAGTGGTTAACGAAAATGTGGTACATTTACACAATGGAGTTCTACTCAGCAGAAAAGAAAGATGAAACAATGAAAATTTGCAGGCAAGTGGATGGAACTAGAAACTGTTATACTAAGTGAGGTTAACACAGGCTCAGAAAGACAAACAACAGATGTTCTCCCTCATATGTGGATCCTAGCACCAATTCCTTATAATAGATGGAATCCCACCTAAATGGGCCAACAGCCAATGGAAAACAGATGATGCAGAGACCCGAAAGTTCAGTGCCTTGCCACAACGGGAGGAAGATCATTCCACACCTATCATCCCCTCTAAGGCTCAGGGACTTTGGGGGAAGAGGTTGGAGGAAAGAATGTAAAAGGCAGAAGAAGGGGTGGAGTGTTAACTGGAAGTGGACCACTATGCCTGTAAGCTATAGTCACACCTCCTTCCTATGCTCTTCAATGAGGTGAGGGGGGAGTCAGCTTCCCCTCCCACCCAATCAGTTGACCTTAGCTGCATGTAGGAGAGGGGGGGGCTCAGGATATATAAGCCCAGCCGCTAAGAGGCGCCTCTCTCACCATTTCGTGGGGCTGTCAGGAAGTCACAGGATCTATATTTGAATGTGGACTTTCCAGCATAGTGTGCCTCACACTCTTCTGTAAATAAACCCCCACCCTATGCTCTGTTAGCAAGACCAATAATGAGAGAGAGAGAGAGAGAGAGAGACAGAGACAGAGACAGAGACAGAGACAGAGACTAATGGAAACCTTCATTATTCCACCAAGATTGACCCTATGTGGGGAAATCCTTTGGTCTTTGATTTCTCATTCCTATCTTCACCCCTTAAACCTCACTGTAAATGTATTTTTTATGTAACCTGATTTATTTCAGAAAAATGTTTTAAAAACTGCCTCTCTTTGGAATAAAAATAAAATTAAAAAGAATTCTGACACATGTAATAATGTAGATAAACCCTGACAACATCATGATTAGTGAAATATGTCATCCCCCAAAACAAATGCTTCTGTGAGGCTATGAGGTCTTTAGTCGTATTGTGGAGACAGAAACAGCAGCTGCCAAGGAGTAGGGTGGGTGGGAAGTAAGAGATTACTGAGCTTTTACGTTGTTGTTGTTTTTGATCCTTCTTTGGGACTAGGCCTTTAACTCTGGGCGCATGCATTCTCCTGCCTCAGTCTCTTAGCCTCAGCCTCCCCATAGCTGGAAGTACAGGCACATACTACCATGTTTACCAGAAGTAAATTTTTAGTGAATAAAGAACTTCAAAATTCAAATAAAGAATTTCTGGCAAATAGGGGCTGGAGAGATGGCTCAGCGGTTAAGAACACTGGTTGTTCTTGCAGAAGACCCGGGTTCAAATCCCAGCACCCACATGGCAGCTAACAACTGTCTGTAACTCCAGTTCCAGGGGATCCGACAGCCTCTTCTGTCCTCCACGGGCATTGCATGACATGGGTGCACTTACCTACACACAGGCAATACATACATATACATAAAATAAAAATAATAAAAATATTTTTTTTAAAGTTTAAAAATTTTCTGGCAAATGAACACTTCCAGAAAACCAGTAGCAGACATTGGATGTGGTTGCTTTACAACAGGAATGTACTTAATGCTATTGAACTATAGATTTAAAAATAATCTAAAGGCCAGGATTGGTGGGCATGTGTATACTCCAGCATTTGACAGGCGGAGGCAGGAGAACCTTGGCTTTCCAGACAGCCTAAGCTACATAGTGGGACCCTGCCTCAAATAAGTAAACTGTTTACTTGGTCATTATTGCAGATGCCTTTAATCCCAGCACTTGGGAGGTATAAGTGGAAGGATTGGGATTTCAAGGCATCCTCAGCTATGTTATGAGCTTGAAGCAAGCCTGAGCTGCAAGGGACCCTGTCCCAAACAATAGCAAACAAAGAATAGTTAAGAATTTTTATGTGCACATTACCATAGTGAGAAAAGTGAAAAGAACAGGTGGGTATACTAACACCATACATCTTTAGGCCTCACAAAGGAATGGGAAACAAATGTCAAGTGTGTTTTAAAAAGCATAAAACTCACACGACAACCATGACAAATTATCTTCAAACTCTGGGATGACAAAGGTGGTGCTTCCTTGCTGAGTTTACCACCAGTGAACTGGGTATTAAAGTGTAAAAGGAGGAGATCTCAAAGGCTTCCCTCATCCTGGAACATCATGCTCAGCCAGGGCATCTTCAGTGCACTAGCATGGAAAACATATGCTACTCAGCCAGTTCTGCCACACCTTAGGAAGGGCTGCACCTACAGATTGTCCTTTCCTGAATTCATCAAAAAGGGATTCTTACCACTCCCCTTGATATTGGATCAAGATATTAAATGTTCATAGCCCACCCAGCAGCCCACTTGTGCTCCCCAGGGGTTCTGGTTCCTCTAAGGGGCAGGGCCTGCCACAGAGAATGGATGGCGGAGGGGCTTCTGGGAGCCATCTTGGGATGGAAGCCGCAAGCCAGGGAAGAACAGTGGCGGTCATAGAGAGATGACCCCAGGGAGGAGTGGACCCGAGAGGGGGCATTTACTGATCTGGGATGAGACTGCGGGCCCAAGATATGTGGGCAAAAGTTAACAGAAACTATGGGCAGCTGCGGGAGCATCTGAAGTGGCGGGCTCTGAGCCGGGGTGCAAGAGTGCTTGTCTCTGTGTAAGTTCCCCCATTTACCCCCTTCCTATGCTAGGGCATAAACCATAATAAATTCACATAAAAATATATGGTTTGTCTGATCGTGAAAGAGACCCCAAAAGAACTCTGGTGACACCATTATAACTTTAAAATGGCTAGCCCCAGGTGAAGGTGTTAATTCTTCAACCCTTTGTTTTTACATAGACCACACTTCTTTCCAGACATGAAATACCAACTTCAAACTGATTTTTCCTATGTTAATTTTTTCCTGTTACAGTATGCTAATACTATAATTATTCTTATATTAATTTCAAAATTATCTGCAGCTTACCTACTTTTTTCCCTGTTGTTGCATTATTTCCATTCATTCCAATACCACGTGCAGACTACAATGAAAACACGAAACACCTTCAGAGGTAAGTCAACGGAGAACAGATCAAGCCTAAAACACTTGTATTTTATTACTAAGATAGCGATGAGCTGCCATTGTAAATTATTTAATCTATTTTTTTAAGCTAACTTGGAACCTAATCTTGCTTCTAACACTATTGTGGTTTATTAAAAAATTCATGGCTCAGATAAGAATTCTTAACACTGGGGCTGGAGAGATGGCTCAGCGGTTAAGAACAGTGACTGTTCTTGCAGAAGACCCGGGTTTGAATCCCAGCACCCACATGGCAGCTAACAACTGTCTGTAACTCCAGTTCCAGGGGATCTGACGGCCTCTTCTGTCCTCGGTGGGCACTGCATGACACTGGTACGCTTACCTACATGCAGGCAATACACGCATAGACATAAAAAATATATATATATATTTTAAAAAGTTCTTAACACTCAGGAAAGGCCTTAATGAAAAACATAGACTAGCACTGGCCATGGTGGTGATGCCTGTAGCACTTCAAAACTATAAGCAGGATCATAATTCAAGGTCATCATCTGCTACATAGCCAAACTAGGCCAGCTTGGGCTACATGAGAAACCACTCTCAAAACAACAAAACAAAAACAAAACATAACCAAAATAAAAAAAGATTTCCTACAATCTAGATAAATATTTTCAGAGAAATTCATGGGGAAAAAATATATTAGCTTTAGGCATCCTTACTTATGTAAAAACAAACAAAAAAGTCAATTTTAAAACGGGCATTCATTCACTGCAAGGATAACTAGGAATTACACTGAAAAGAAAATACTTACTAGAAAAAATTCTGTAGGTTCTGACTGGGGAGAACTCCTAATACTTTCATCCTGAAAATGTTGGAGGTTTGCACACAGCCCAATTCCTGAGGGCCGAAACCGGCCTGCCCCACGTATACTCTGTAAACCATCTCTGCTTGCACACCGTGCCAATGAAGCCAAAAGACCAGAATTATTTACACGACCAATAGGCCCTATGGAAGCTTTGTTGGCTATTTCTGTGGTATCCCGAGCTTCAACTTTGGAAACAGTATCAGATCTTTTTCCAGGTGAACCGACTTTAACAGCTCGAAGGCGAGCAGTCCTGGAGAAGGAGGCATCTGCTATGGGCCGAGTGTCCAGTTCTCGGAGCGCGTTCTGCGAGGTGCAGGGTGGGAGGTTTCCAGACTCAAAGCATTTTGACTGGCTCTGAGGCTTCCGCAGAGAATTATGCAGTGCCACTGGGGCGGCGCAGAGCAGCCCGGACAGGAGTCTGCTCCTGTGCGAGCCCGCTTCGCGGTGGCCGAGCCCCGCCCTGTGCCCTGGCTCGCTGCTCCGGGCTCCCGCCATCTGGTTCAGACGCTGCTCCGCTACTCTCAGCCCCACCTCTCCATAGGTGAGCCGGCACTCTGGACCTGCCTCCCCTACTCCTTCCAAACCGCTACTCTGCTCATCACCATTTTCTTCTGCAAACCAGACAAAGGGACCTACTTCTGGTAGGAGTGCTTCCTCGGGCACGCACTCTTCTGAAGGCGGAAAAAGGACCGAGTCGTCCTCATTACTAGATGGCAAGTTCCCTGAAAAGTGCTTTGTCTGCCAAGGCAGAGATGATCCGAGATGAAGGGCAGAATCGGCAAGCGCTTTGTCATTCTCGGATTCTACAAGGGTCAGCTGAGGTAGCAGTCGGGTGCTATCAGTGCGATGGGGCAGGGTGCTAATCTCCCTGTTACCAACCTCCTTCAGCAGCTGGTTTCTGAGAGATGATACAGGCCTATCAGCAGGGGCCTGAGCTGCTGAACTTGCGCCCGCATTCCTGCATGTTTCCGGGAGATATGCATTCCCAGGAGAAGGTAGACAAGATTGCCCAATGTGAGGCAGGACTCTCAACAATCTGTGACGAGCGGCTGCTGTGGAAGTGCTAGAAGGTCGAGGGGCTACAGGCGGGTGAGGATGGACCTTGATAACTTTCTTAGGCTATAAGAAAAGAGTGAAGATGTAATTCTTTACACAGTCATCTCTGTCCATTTACAAAAATTAATGGAGAGAATATTACTTAACATAACACATTGGCCCTTTTAGTGCCTTAATTTAAAATGCTTAATAAAGCTGGGTGTGGTGGCACACACTCCTAGTCCAGCAGTGGAAGGCTGAGGTATGATGGCTATCATGTGTTTGAGGGCAGTGTGGTCTACAGAGTCCACTCCAGACTAGCCTGGGCTACAGAGTGAGGCCTTGCCTTAATACGAAACAAAACAGTCAATGAAATGTTTTCAAATATTAAGATTTTTAAGATTATGACTGAGAAGGATTTATTGAGTATAAGTTTCTGAAGATGTTAAAATAATTGTTTTATTTTCCTCACTATTAATTATTTCTTAGGTTTTTACTAAGAAGAAAATATTGATTATATTAGGTATGACACTGCTGACCTCTTTTGGATAACAATGTTTCCTAATACGATGGCTGTTCATATAGAGGGTAATCTGAAAGAGTCAGCGTGACTGAAGTGCTGACCTTAACTTACATTTCAGGAGGTTCCTATTGACCTTAACTGATCAGAGTGGCTGTTGTGCCTCAAATGCTTATGCAAACAACATTATGAACACATGCTTTTCTTCTGAGATTCTGAAATTTACATATATATATA